CTTTATGTAACAAATAGAAATTTTAATTACCACCTATATATATAATTAAACTAACAAATAATTAATTTCATAAAATAATTAAATAATTTATTTTCTCACAAATTTAATTAATGTTATTAACACGTAAATCACTTATTTAAAAATTAATTAATTAATTAAACTAACAACTATTAAATTTTTTAAAAACAATTAAATTATTTAAATACCAACAATTATACTTAATTTCATTAACAACTAAATGAAAATTATTTAACACATAATTTATCAAACTAACACTTAAATAATTATTTTAAAAATTTAAATTAATTAACAAATAGTAAATACGTATAATAATAAAATAAATTAAACTAACTAACAATTAACCAATAAATAATTAAGCAACAACAATTAACAATTAAATTTTTTACATACCAACAAATAAACTTAACTTCATTAACAACTAAATCAAAATTATTTAACACATAATTTTGTTAAACTAACACCTAAATAATTATTTTAGAAAAAATTAAATTAATTAACAAATAAAAAATACTCATAACAACAAAAAAAATTAGACAAACTAACAATTAACCAATAAATAATTAACAACAATTAACAATTAAACTATCTAATAATTAACAACAACAACAATTAACTATTAAACTAATTAACAATTAACTAATAAATCATTAACAACAACAATAATTAACAATTAACAATAAAAATTAATAAAAAAATAAATTATTCAAATAAATGGAGGAAAAAAAAACTTAATGAGTTACCAATTACAAAATTGAAGGAGTAGAAAAGGAGGAGGAGCTACTACCGTGGCACTCGTTCATGAAGAAGAGGAGTGAAGGGAGGAGGAGGAAAGGAGAGAAAGAAGAAGAAAAGGGAGGGGGAGAGAGGAAGAGATGGAGGGGAAGAAGAATAGAAGAGAGATGAGGAGATTTAGAGGGAATCGGAGGCGAGATTGAAGGAGAAATTGGGAAGAAAATGGTGGAGGTGCAACTCGCTGGAAGAAAAAAAGAAGAGAAAGAAAATTTAGGAAAAAAATATGCATGGCGATAGCATTTAGGGATTAAGATTTTTAACGATGGTTTTTATCTCATTACTAAAACTATAGCTAATAAACTAAAAATTTCAAAAATGATCGTTTTTTCCTCCAACGGTCAAAATTTAGCGATGAAAACTATTGTTAATTTCAACATTTTTGTGACGGTTTTCATCACAAAAACTGTCGCAACTTTCCTTCCCAAAATGGGTTTCGAAAATAATTGGATTTAGCATGGCTTTTAGTCACTGTCGCTAATTGGTTTGTATATTTTTTTCAAATTCCTATGTATTTTAGGACCAACGAATAAAGACATGGCTCCATGCCATCCAAAATCTAGATCTCTTGAAAAAAGAAAACACAAAACATTGATACAATTGAGCTACAACTCAATATAGCTTTGGATAATTGGTTAAGAGTAATAAGATTATCTCATATTCATCAAAAATAAAATAAACTGAAATAAATATATCATATGAGAAATCACTTGCAATGGCTCCATGCCATTCAAAATCCATTATCTATATACTTATTCAATGGGCATGCTAATCTTTCATTTCATTTTTTTTTCTTTATTATTATTATTATTGCAAAGAAGGGATTCGTACTCAAAAGCTTTTAAGGGAAGAGTGGTGTGTAATGCAGTTGAGCTATACCAGACCATGGGCATACACACACACTTCCTTTCTAGTTGAAAGAAATTGGAGTAAAACAAACCCTTCAAGGGGAGTCTATGGTGACAACATAGGCTACCTAATATTCATTTTTCGTCACTATACATGGTTGAAAAAAGGCGAATCTCTGCCTTCTCCGAAAACAAAAAAGGATAGCCTGTTTCTATCTAGAAATCAAAAGGTCTTGTACGGAAAGATTATAGCATATGAATTTCTTGGCTTCGGTCGCTAAGGTGGAACCTCAGCCAACAGAAAAGTTTGACTTCGCCGTTATATCATATGACAGAGAAGTTTTAGCGACATTGTACGACGCTATTCTCGCCATGATGAGCTAAAAATGTCCAGCGCCCTAATTATTGAGCAAAAGCCCATTTATTTTGCCCGTGTTAGAGTTTAGACGATTCCAATTTTCGTAGTGTCCAAAGATATCACATTTCAACCCAAAAGGTTATTCTGAGCTGTCAATGGAGGTCTTCTATTTAATGGGCTCTGAATAGTATTCTATACATATCTTCAATGGCTCCATTGGATTAATTCTCAAAGTTCCGAGAGCAGAGTAAAAGCTAGCGAGAGAGCTTCATGTTTCTAAAATAATAAATATGCTTTATGAGCCAAAGAATGGCCTAGGCTTCGATATCAATTATTGTTGGCAGGCCCATTTTAGAATATTTTGAGTTCTATGTATAATTAGTGTTGTCACGTTTATTTGTTGTGCCTCCTTGGGATAATTTGCAGGCCATCTTCCTTCTTGAAAATTAACAAAAACACCCAAACCAAACTACCATTTATTATTTAATTTACTATTCATAATACTATGCAATCAGATTCAATTCACTATTTTATCAAGACTCGTTTGCATTATTCTTTTTACCATGTTGTGATAATATTATAATTTTCAAAATTTATTAAAATATTTAATATGCAAGTTGTTCTAATATTACATTTTGGTCTTTATTTTTTTACACATAGCACTATATTTTGGTCTTTTATTTTTTGTACTTTTTTTTGTTTTACTTTCAAACTTCATTTCACTAACTTTTTTTTTATATATATAGTTTAATTTTTAAAAAAGAAATATTGATTTTTTGCAAAAATTATAGAAAATTTTATTATTATTTTTTAAGTTTTCTACACAAAATGACAAGAAAGAAATATATATGATGTGTTTTCTATTTCAAATGAAAATATATTTCATATTATAATACTCTTATTGTTTAAAATTAATCCCTTCAATTTGTCATTTTTTAGGAAATTCTCATCCAATTAAATTTTTATTTTACTTTTTATTAAATTTCATTTGTTGATAAATAAGATTTATTTTTTTCTATGTAAGGATTTTGGAGTTTTAAAACATGATCATCTTCTCTCTTGAAAAAAAAATTTAAAATAGTCTATATGATGAATTCTTATGATTTTTAAATAAAACTTATATATATATAACAAAGTGAAGAAAATAACATTTATATTAAACAAAACATTGAGAAATTTTTTGTTTGCAATATCAATAAATAATAACTTTAATATCTTGACTATAAAAATGATTTTAAAATTAGAACAAGAGATTTACACTAAATTATTTGTCCATCCATACAAAAACATATATTAAATTGAACAATATGATAAGACAATATCTTAATATATGCACTAAAAACAACACAAAATCTAAACAAATAGATGTGACTGTAAATCGAATCTCATAGCAACGCGTAAGTCAAACACTAGTGTTAGCTATTTAATAAGGATTAGAATCCTCATACTTCTTGAAACATCACACATCATGTTATTGTAATCTAATTCTTTAAAAAATAAACAAGGGCAAATTATAATAATTCGTTGAAGTGTTATAAAATTATGATAAATAACAAAAAAATTGAAGTTATTATATAAAAAAAATGAACCCAAAATGTCTTTAGTGTCAACGAGAATGATTTGAAAATATTAAATGTATTTTGGATATCAAAAAGCGTTTTTTGAAATAGTCACTTAAACTTAGGGAGAGTTTATATAGTACCTTTAAATGTTTAGATGGTCACTAAAATGAAACGTATCTCAGAAATTTTTTCTAATTTACCTAATAGATAAATAGTCAAATTTTTAGTATCTAATATTTGCTTAAAGTAATAAAATCAAATCAATTTGAATTAATGCTTAATTAAACCGAGAAGAAAAGATATTAAAACAATAATAATAAAAAAAATCATACAAAAACATAGTAAATACATTAGCACATGCTATATGAAACAATATGACATATTGAATACAAACAAAAACCCATCAATAATTGGTGAACAACCAACTATACATACGCCTATTATGTAAAAAAGAAGGGAAAATATTAAATATATCATTAAAGTATTGGAGTATTATTAATTTTAAAATTAAAATTATTTTTCATCAATTTTATCACTAAATTATTTTGATTTTCAATTAAAATTTTATGTTAGAATTATCTAACATAAAATATTAAGTCCTCTACAAATGGTGCCGTTTCTTACACACACACACAATTTATAGAAAGCTTTAAAAATTGATGGAAGTGGTTAATTGAGAATGTTTAAAAGTTTGGTGTTAAAATTGATAAAAATATATATATATTTGATGATAACTAACCATATAATTGGATTGTATTTTTTATATTTTTCTAAAAAAGGCAAAGAAAATCAAGAAAAAGAAACTCGAAGACCAGTAAGAAGATTTACTAAATTTTTTATTTACGAAGATTTACTCTTTTAATTTTTTTTATTTGTAGAGAAATCCACAGACCTTTAGACTGTACAATAAGAATAGTCTTTTTTTTTCATTATATAATAATTTAAAAAAAAACACTTGGAGTTATTAGAATTTCAGTTTTACTTCATTAGAGAAGATAACTGGATAAATAATTTTCAGGCTAAGCCTACATTTATTTATTTATTTTAACTCAATTCTTTAGACAACATGTAGGAGATTATCTTAAATGCACCAAATTGATAGAAAAAATACGGGAAATGGTAAATTGGTTTGAAAATATCTTTAATATTTATTAATATGGCTGATTTGGACCTTATGGAAGTCCAAAGACAGAACTAATGTCATCGAAGTTTTCCTTCATGACCAGCTAACTGGTTTTCCTATTCATTCAAGAAACATGGCCAGCAACGGAAGCATAAACTTTAGCATCCTTTGCGTCCCTCCATGTATGATACTACCTTATTTTCTTAGTCTACCAAAGCCTACTCTCTTCCCTTCTCTTTCTCTCTTGCTTTAAAATTCTGCATACGGATCATAACACTCAAGTCTCGAGCTAAGACTCCATGGCAAGCACTACTTCAATATCAACAACTCCAAGTTCTGTAACCCACAGTTTTGGCCGAAGTTCTCTCTTCGCATCAAACCCCAACTCTTCAATGATATCAATTCATTTCAAACCAAAGGGGTTTGAATATTGGAGAAATAACAAGACATCAAATACATGTTTGGTCGTGCAAAGGAGAGCAGAGGATTCTGTCGAGGTTAAAGATAATAGCGAAGTACCCACTTTAGATGATGTCAAAGCGGTTTCACGTGTGGAGGAGAGATTAGCAAGAAAGAAATCAGAGAGATATACTTACCTTGTTGCTGCAATCTTGTCTAGTGTTGGTATCACTTCAATGGTTGCCATGGCCGTTTATTACAGATTTTCATGGCAAATGGAGGTACGTTAATAAAATAGAGTGAATGAATGCGAATATTTGAGTGGTTTTATTTATTTTTTTCAAAGTAACCTAGGTTTTAATTTTTGTTAATTGATTTTTCATTACTTTCTAAATAGGGTGGAGAGGTTCCTTTGCTGGAAATGTTTGGTACATTTGCTCTGTCCGTCGGAGCTGTGGTAACTTGCATTCACTGATTTTTTGTTTTTTTGTTTTTACTGTTTTATGTATAGAGAATTTTTACTTGCCTATAAATACAAGATAATTAACTAATAATGTTGATAATTCAACAAAGAATTCTTTCATGATTTATTGAATTTGTAGAATTCGCTTTTGAACCTTAAAAAAGTGAGATGTTTGGATTTCATAAATATTTGGGTAATTATGAAATAATTAGTAGCTTCTTGTTTCCAGCTAATTTCATTTTAAAATTAGCAGAGGTTTATTCTGGTGGCACTCCTAATTAATGTAGGATTTGGGTTCTAATTCTGCTATCACTACTTTAAGAAAAAGAAAAAAAAGAAATGTGATTAGGCCTTCTTGGAATCCTTGATTTTACAGGTTGGAATGGAGTTTTGGGCACGGTGGGCTCATAGGGCATTGTGGCATGCTTCCTTGTGGCATATGCACGAGGTTCGGTATTTTCTGGTTGATTGAATTCCTTGCGGGCTAATTAAGTTAAGTTAATATCCGAATAATCTTGATAATTATTTTCCTGGTTGATTTTGGCTGCAGTCTCATCATAGACCAAGGAACGGTGCCTTTGAACTAAATGACGTTTTCGCAATAATAAATGCGGTTCCAGCAATTGCACTATTTTCCTATGGTTTCTTCAACAAAGGGCTTCTGCCTGGACTCTGTTTCGGTGCGGTGAGTGAGTCCATTTAATTTCTCTACTTCTTTCTGCCAGCAGAAGTCGGTTTTCTAAATCTTTATGAGGACAAAAACATCAATTTCCAGCTACTCTTGTTTCTGACTTGATATGGTGGCCGAAAATGATTTGTCCAGAGCAAGGCAAATTTTGGTTGTTGGTGGTCATCGTTGGCCCTTTTTGACACCTCTTTCTGATATTTCAGACATTTTTATTATATTAATTTATGGAGTAGTTTTTATTTATTTTCCTCAGGGTGTTGGAATCACAGTGTTTGGGATGGCCTACATGTTTGTACATGATGGTCTTGTCCACCGTAGATTCCCTGTAGGACCCATTGCAAATGTTCCTTATTTAAGAAAGGTTGCTGCAGCCCACCAAGTAAGTACGTGTTTATAATGCAATTGGAATTTTTTTAAGAGTTAAAATATTTTACAAAAAAAAAAATTAATTAATCTAAAATATTTTATATTTAAGAGCACATATTTATGCTTGATTTTTATTTTATTTTTTTAATGATATTTTATGTTTTTTTTTTCATAACCAAATGTCATGTTAGCACTGTCATGCACATGATAAATATATCATTTTTGTACTCTTTTACAAGAGAATATTGATGGGATTTGGATGGTGATGACGCTGATGCTTTGTTGTGTGACAGCTTCATCACGCAGATAAATTTATTGGGGTTCCTTATGGACTGTTTTTGGGACCTAATGTGAGCACTAATATCCTCGTCTTGGTTTAATTTCTTCTTTTACGTTTTTGATAAAGTAATTTAGAGGACAAGAAGAGGAGCATAACTGGACAAATTAATTTGCATCTTGGTGCAGGAACTAGAAGAGGTGGGAGGTTTAGACGAGTTGGATAAGGAGGTTCAAAGAAGGATTAAAGCATCTGGATAGAATTAGTTCTTTAATTATTTGTCCATTTACATTCAAGAAGGCCAAAAGCCAAAGTCAAAAACTAGAAATATATATATAGTTTACACTTTATTCGTTAGAATAAAAAAAAAAAATTGTATCAATTGGTCCTTAATTGGACAATAGATTCTATCTTTTTTTTTTTTTGTTTGGTGAACTGTATTTCGAAATATGAGGGGGAAAAAGAGAGTAATTGAACCAGATCATTCTCGCAGTCTTAATGATAAATTCTGGAGTAATATTTGAGAAAACTATACATATATTACTAATTAAAACCATTTTCCATTAAAAAAAAAAAATCAATTGTTGCCTGCTGGGTTTGGATCACAGTGCATAAGGGGACATGATACTCTAGATGCACACCATATAGACTAATGACCCATTAGAGAGGGGAAAAGAAAAAATCTGGGAGACCCTTTTTTTTTTTTGAAGAAGAAGAAGCCGACTTCCCTATGACTGTGAGTAATTAGCTAGCTAAGGTAAAATTACACAATCAATCGTATTTTTCCATTCAATATCGATCAAATTGGTGCTTGACCTCCAAAGTGTCATTGAGATATTGACTGCTTTGCAGAAAACTTTGTAGATCGGCTACAATAGAAAATAGGAATATATGAACTTGATCTTTGTTGACCGGAAAAGTATATATATATTAAAATACCATTAGGGTCAATTGCCAAGTCCTTTTAAATCATAAAAAGCTTAGTTATTAAATAAAAAATTCCATTCGAAACATTCTCTTCCCCAATGAGAAAAAACACAGTTCTTTCTTACTGCTAGTAGGACAATTAGGTTCAACAAGAGACATTAAGGAGTAGCCTCTTTGCAAATATTCCCACACATGATGCTATAAATGTGAATTTCAAATTCAATGAATGTAATCTCCAAGAAATTATAGACCATATTTTTTTAATGGAAAAATCATATATATATATATATATATATATATATATATATATATATATATATATGGAGCCACTGATATAATTTGAGGCCACAGCTGTCCCAGTAGCCGCAAGGTCTCGTCGCATCAAATAATAATAATAATAATCTATATATCATGAGATGAGGAACGGGGGGTTGCATACCCACAGACACAGAATTATGCTGAAAACAAAGAAATTTGTAGAAAATAAAGGAACCAAGTGGGATGCGTGTCTTTGTCTCTTCGAATAATATTAATAGACTAAAATCTCATGAACTCTCACATGTTCTATGCACACATCATATGGAGCTCTGTTCGCGCAAGGCATACGAGAAAACGGGTCGGTCACATATCGGAGGTGGTCTTGATAGGTGCATGGTCCAGGAACAATGTAAGTGCCAGCAAATAGGCTCGTGGATGACCCACAATTTCTATGATGTAAAAGGAAACTAAATCAGGTGGGAGTTTTAATAGTAAAAATCATTATTTATTCCCTCACAATATACTATTCATTTACTGTAATATTTTTTTTAAAAAAAAATTAATTATTTTATTTTGATTCTTAAAATTTTTAAATAAAAATTTTAATCTCTTAACCGATACACTACACATATCTTTTTCTTTTTCTTTTTTTTGTTTTTTCATCAATTTATCTTCTTTTTTTATTTAATTGGATTTTAAAATTTTGAAAAATTAATCTTTTTTTTTACACAAACTAATGATTATATATATATATATATATATATATATATATACATGATAAATTTTTAGATTTTAGAATAAATATATACTACTCTTATTGTTTAAAAATGATGTTTTCAATTTATTATAAAAATTCTGATCAAGTTAATTTTTATTCGTATTTTTATATAATTTTATTTATTAATAAATATGATTTATTTTCTCAATATATGGATTCAAATAAGCTTTTTTTATATCTGTTTTTATTTACTTAATTCTTATATAATCAAAAGTTAAAAATAAAATATATGTATTTTATTTTCTTAATCTTTATATAGTCAAATTTATCAAAATTAATTTTATAGTTTTTATTGCACTCTATTAATTTCAATATATATTTTACAATTTAATTTTCTTAAAATATTTTTCAATTTGTGCTATACATTCTCATCCATTGAGCATGCTCATAATGTATAAAAAAATAATAATAATAGAGTCATTGATTTTATTAGAAATCAACTATAAATCTACACACACAATATCAATTATTTGCTATTATTTTTTAAATATTTTAAAATTAATTTTTTTAGATAAAATAATTAAAATAATATTTTAGAATAACCACATAATAGTTCAAATACAATTTTGTGTACCAATATTATTTATTATTTTGTAATTTGTGCTATACATTCTCATCCATTGAGCACACTCATCATGTATAAAATAATAATAATAATAGAGTCATTGATTTTATCAAAAATCAAATATACATCTACACACACAATATCAACTATTTGCTATTATTTTTAAATATTTTAAAATTAATTTTTTCAGATAAAATAATTAAAATAATATTTCAGAATAACCGCCTAATAGTTCAAATATAATTTTGTGTACGAATATTATTTACTATTTTGTAATTTGTGCTATATATTCTCATTCTTCGAGCTTGCTCAACATGTATAAAAATAATAATAATAATAATAGAGTCGTTGATTTTATTAGAAATCAACTATACATCTACACACACAATATCAACTATTTGCTATTATTTTTTTAAATATTTTAAAATTAATTTTTTTAAATAAAATAATTAAAATAATATTTTAGAATAACCGCCTAATAGTTCAAATACAATTTTGTGTACTAATATTATTTATTATTTTGTAAATAAACATATATAAGTCAATTATACATATTTAAAAAAATAATCTTCTCATCGGTAAAAAAAACTTCATTTGTTAATTTTCATACAAGTTTTTACATTAATTATTGATTTATTTCTTCAATGCAATGTTATAAAAAATATTAAGACCCTTTTTTTTAATTTTATATTAAAATTTGTTTAATATGGGTTTTATTTAAGAATAAACGCATAAGAAAGAACAAATCATATTTTTTTGACTTCAAAATTCATTCAAACACACACACACACACACACACACACATAAAATTTTGATTAAAAATTATAAAATCAGAAGAAATTTTTAATTTAATATATTTTAACCGACAATACAAGCAATGTTATCAAATTTAAATAAATATGTTTAGTTCGATTCGAGTGTAGCACAAGAATCCAAAAGGTTTATATGCGTAAAATTTTTATTCACTTACTGGTAATATGCATAAAATTACTATTCACTTGATGGCAATTTAAGTAATTTTTGTGTCTTGATTTTTTTTTTTTTTTTTTAGGCATTGATATACAAATTTAACACTTTTTTTTTTTTTAATATTCGTTCCTCATGCTCGTAATATCATTTTTCAATCCTTAGCTTTCATTTTTCTTTCATTTTCATACAACACATGTGTGTGTGTGCACTAGATATACACACTATCTTTTTACATTTTAAAATTAAAATATACTTCTTTTTATATTACTCTTATTACTTAAATTTTATTCTTTGAATTTAACATTTTTTATGAAAATTCTCATCCAATTAATATTTGTTATATAAAATTTTATTTATTGATAAATATAATTTATTTTTCTCAATTTTAAAATTTTAAAACATGATTGCTTTTTCTTCTTTTTTTTTTTTTCAAAAATAAATTGGTATAATATATATATCATGAATTCTTAGAATTTTTAAATGATGGTTGCATATATATATTTTAAAAGGTTAAAAGTGTATTTCAAATATTTTTTCTCGGTTCACTAAATATGGTCAAGACGTATAAAAAAACTATTGAATCATTATTTTTATTAAAAATTAACTATATATCTTCCAACATAATACAAATTATTTACTAAGAATATTTTTTTAACATTATAGAACCAATTTATTTAAAATAAAATAATTAAAATAAGTTTTTAAAAGAATCAACCAGATTATTCAAATACGACTTTTTATGTTAATTTTATCGATATTTTGTAAATAAATATACATAAATCAAATGCATATACTTTTTTAAAAAATAATCTTCTCACCAAAATTAAATAAGAATAAAATTTTATGTTTTTATTAGTTATTTTTTATGTAAATCTATACACTAATTGTAACTTTATTTTTTGGATACATTTTTATAAAAAATATATATTTTAAAAAAATTTAATTCTTAATTAATATTTCAGGTTTAAATTATTATAAGTTTTTATTTAAGAATCTCTGAATAAAGAAGAATAAATCATATTTTTTAAAACAAAAAAATTATAAAAAAAATATTAAATAAATTAAGTAAAAAATTATAAAATAATTTTATTTTATCGAATCTCGCAATATAGGATGGGCAACCAATTAGTCCTGCCTAAAAACCATGAGCCGTCGTTGGTTATCAAAATCACTCCTGGGATGATGCATTGGATGTGAAGCCATTTCTTTTTGGTATTTTATGTTTTCTTTTCCAAAATTTTAAAAATGAAACAGAAAACTTGTTTGCTTTTATTTCTTGTTTTTAAAAAACATAAAATATTGATAATACGTTGTCAAATTTTTCCATTTCTTTTTTTCCTTCTTTAACATTTAAATATAAAGCATAAACAAATTTTCTCTCTCTATTTTCAAAAATTTGAAAACAAAAATCGTAAATGATTCCAAAATCCTAACACTCCCTTAGCTTCTTATTAACTACATTTGAATCCAAAAAACATCAATCGCTTAATCGCTAATTAATTCATCCTTGGCTAGCTAGCTATAATAAATTATTGTTGAAGGAGTTAGTTCGAGTCCAACCGCGAAAACAGTACTCCTAAATAACAGAATTTGAATATTTGAAGCAAGAGTGCTTGAATTAGATAGAAACATACATAAACAAGACGTGCAAGCAAGGTGATTGCTAAACCACCCATGCACTTGACAAATCAATCTTGACTTTCCTTCCAAGACTGAGACAAGCAAACAATCAAGTCTGGATTAAGAACAGTACAAAACAAATGACCTTCAGCTGTGCACAACTCTCGTATTGAGGCTTACAACCCTCAATCTTCTTTGATGTTCGACGGTGATTAATAGGAAAGGGAATACCTAGCCTGGAGGCAATGCATCGCTTTAGCCTAAAACTTGAGCTTCTTGTTATCAATGGTACACTACTCAGTGCTCGTATGTCCATAATCTCCATCATTCCTATCATCGAGTGTTTTTATTTAAACAGTTCGATTACAAAAAAATAAGTTGGAAAAATCATGGGAACTTCAAGTCATTATAGAAAAATCAATGGGCTCCTTTTAAGGATTGGAATCGTATTGGACTGCGCACAATTTCTGGGATTATGTTCACATTCATCATCTTCAGCAAAATTGATCGGGAGTCTCGTCAACAGTCTACTTCCATGATCAAGACAGAGAATACTGGCTAATGATCTCAGAGTCATTTTAGATAAAATAAAGACCTGAATCACAGATCCAAATATACCTCAACTTGTCGCTCACTTGAGCTTGTAACCCTAATATTTTGCAGGCTTATGGTAAGGGCATTCTTTTATTAAAGTTTTGCGTCAGCTTGAAAAAACATTTTAGATATTGTCTTGCAAAGAACAACATTATTAGGCTCCACGATCAAAATTTTAGATAACTGTCTTGAAAAGAACAACATTATTAGTCTCCACGATCAAAATTTCTGTGACAACTATAAAGGCATTTACCATGAGACAATTACAAAATTAAAAAAAATATGCAACGAGCTGGTATACTATATACAGAACACTAACTCTAATCTAATTACAGCATATTACAAGGCAAGGAAGATCAAAATTGTGCACGAACCTTCCTCTATTTTAAACCATGGTTTCATATTTGGCTCAAGATCCTTTCTAAATTATATGTCCTGACTTAATTTTTGTTGCTCAAGTTTCTCTATCAAGACTTTCTTGTCATCATCTGGAAGAGAGTTGAACATGAAGACAGATTTATCCCCAATGTCATCCTTGAAATTAAATAATAAAGCGTCAGAAAAGTCCATGGATATTTCACTCTGAGCTCCAATTATTTCAAATAAACGAGGACGTTAACAAGAACTGTTGACAAATACTTACCTTAATGGGCTGAGTAAATTTCCTTCCAGCAAATATCACGAAGAGGGCCATCCATGAAGCTAAAAGAGTGAGTTTTACTCCATCATCCATTAAACCAGTCTGCATATAACAGACAACACCCATCAGAATCTAGATAAAAATAAAATTCAAAACCCAGGAATAGAGGTGTGCTACACAAGCACACAACAAAATACAGAAGTATGCAGGAGGTTTTTGCAACAGCCTCTACCATCAATTGCATGGACACCTCGAAACATACTTTCTCGAGGTTCAATATTAATCATGAAGCCACGCAACATCCTCTACCCCAACCCATGCCCCAACAAAATCTAGCCCAAAAATTAGTTAAAAATGATGAAAGACTGCAATGACTCGTTTTTCCAAGTAATTTCTAGCATCTTGCAAGGGCTCTAAAGAGGAAAAACAAGCAGAAAGTTAAAAATTGTAGACAAAATGACTATAAGAATAAACTCGACTTATTCTTAAAAAAAAAAAAACACCATTCTACATCATGTGAATATATTTCCATTTGACCACAATAAGGGAATTATAATGACCGCATGCTGAATGTTTCCAGAAGAGTACCAGGTGTCCAAGAAGAAGTGTGGGTATAATGAATGTGAGTATACCAGCTTCCAGCTTTCCATAGCAGAGGCCTGTATTACAAAATCATATATCTCAGGATACATAGCATTTAGAACTAGGTATGTAACATGGCATCATGAGCTATAAAACAAATACCAACAAAAAGCTGTTCATATTCTATTGCAAAGTACAAACTCATACTAAAAGGAAAAAGGCAGCTTTAAATACTGATGTAATCAATGTAAAAGGATGGAAGTATCACATATAAGACAATTTCTTATTTACTGACAAGCAGTTCTGTAATTGAAGGGTTGAAAATGTCAAATTCTTCCATTGCACTCCTCTCTTTGTTCTTGTCCCAACCCCCTGATCTCCTAGGAAATTTGACACAAGGAATTGGAGAAGGCAAATTAAAATTACCTTTTCCATTCAATTATTTGACACAAGGGTGAAATAAGTTACATGCTTTGGATCGAATACAATACATTATGCAAAATAGGGGGCATTGTGGTTAAGTAAATTTCTCTTTAAGGATTTATCCCCATTATAATCCAGCTAACCATACCTTACAATCTTCAAGAGATTCAAATTTTAATTCACTGATGAAGTTTTGAAATCCGGTGGACGATGAAATTTAGATCTCCCCTTAACTTAAAATAAGGGTAATTTTACTTTCAACAAGCAAGTCCCATTTGACCATCATATTTACCAAAAAGAAAGGTGAAATTCCCCAAAATAATACTGCATTAAATTCATAAGTGACACCATAAGCTACCAGAGTATACACAGAATATAACATCCACATTAGCTGCTTTAAAGACAAGTTCCTTAACTTAAAATAGGGGTAATTTTACTTTCAACAAGCAAGTCCCAATTGACCATGGTATTTACAGAAAAGAAAGGTGAAATGCCCCAAAATAATACTGCATTAAATTCACAAGTGACCACACAAGCTACCAGAGTATACACAGAATATAACATCCACATTAGCTTCTTTAAAGACAAGTTCCTTAACTTAAAATAAGGGGAATTTTACTTTCAACAAGCGAGTCCCATTTGACCATGGTATTTACAAAAATGAAAGGTGCAATACCCCGAAATAATACTGCATTAAATTCACAAGTGACCACACAAGCTACCAGAGTAGACACAGAATATAACATCCACATTACCTTCTTTAAAGACAAGTCCTGTCAGTGCTGCAAAGAGAGGACCAACAAACCAGGTAGCTGTTGGGTTATTAACAACATATTGTATCATATTTTCACCAGCTGGTTGAGCAAGGGTCGCATATGTTGCTAAAGATCCAATAACACCCAGTGCCCAAAAAGCTTGAAGAGAGCGCTTAATTTCAGTTACATAGATGTGAATTAGAAACAAAGATAGGCCAAGACCCCCAGCTCCAAGAGTGTATAACAAATCAAGATTTTGTTTCACTAGTTCACTCAACAAAGAGTCACTAGGTAAAAAAGCATATGATGCAGCAAGCACAAATGATGAAGCAGCAGTAACTAACCCAGATCTGTATAAAATCACCTGTTACAACAAGCAAATTATCCTCATTAGAGAGCTATCTACAAGAATTATTATTTAAATTTTGTTTGCTTATGACTAGATTGACAAATTAGCCTAAAACAGCTTGTCCTTATCTCAACATATAAAGTAGTACAAATTTGACGGCAGAATCACAGAATCTTGATTCAACAGAAACAAAACTATAAAATCACGATTCATGTCAACAAAATGACGTTTCAACAGAACCACAGCATCTTAATTCATGGTCCTTTCAGAATATTCTACAACTAGAAATACGAGTTCTTAAGGAAACGCAGGCAATGAGAAAATGGGCAAAAAATTTTAGGGATGAAACAATATTGCTTGGCACTGTGCTCTTCCTAAACACAGAGGTCTTACATGGAACACACCCCACTCCAAAACCACACCATGATAGGTTTTGTTGAAATCTTATCCCCCAACTAAATTGCCCATGCGAAAAGAAAACCTAGTATTCCTTTCAGTCTACCCAAGACTCCGCTCAAGCTAAATTGTCAATATTACTAATAATCCAGCCCTCATCAGACTGTTAAAGATCATAGATGCATACGACTAGAAACCTCCATTCCATTTTTAGGAATAGAAGCAAATTCATTACTCTGATTCAAGTACAATACTCAATTTAGCTCCTTTACTCAAGAAACAATCTCAACCACCCTTTCGCTTACGCTAAAAGAGTCAGCAAAATGGCCCCGTAACTTCGGGAGAACGGGTGCCTCCTCGCAAAATACCATCCGAATTCATACTATATCAGATCCGGTATGCGATATGGTTCTGAAGACCCCATTTATTAACCTCAAGAACTTCTGACCATCACCCAAAGGCAAAGCTAGATAGTTTTACAGAGAGTTTCCATCGTTGAAAAAATTCAGATTTCATTTTGTCATTTGATGCAGCAGTCACTTACTATTCCAATAACCCTATAAATTTTCAATTATAGGAGAGAATAGAAATTTTAAATTACCTGCAACTAGACAGGAAAAAAGAAGAGAAATAAAATCAAAATCAGCACTGAAAAAAAAAAAGTACCTCTCGAACGTCCGATGATTCAACAGTCCAAGGACCATAAACACCATTGTAAACAGGCTGAGAGCTGTCCCCAACAGCCTTACACTTCATCCATCCATTTTTTGACCTAAACCCTGCTCTGTTGTTGGAGAATTTCACTGGAGAACTATTTATAAATTTTGTAGGGGCAGTTATTAAGCACGTGGGTAGCACGCGCGACGCCATAAATAGCAACTACCCCACAAGTAGATAGCTACTGCTGCCGGAGAGAGGGGAAAGGGAGAGGGGAATGGCAGTGGCTACCGTTTCTGCTGGTGGTTTGAACGGTGGGTGGAGGCTTGAAGGAGCGTGGATGGTGATGGAGTTACTGGCGGTGGAGAAAGAGAGAGACGGTGGAGAAAAAAATCTAATGGCAGGGAGAAGACAGAAGAAAGATCGATTTTGTGTTCTATCATTTGTTCATTGGGTTGGTGGTCGTCAAGCGGGAATGAGTGGTTGAGGTTTTATTTTTTAGTTAGATAACTATTTTCTCACTTAATTTATGTAATTTCATATTTTATTTTTCAAAATTGATAAAGAGTTAATACTCCTATCATTGTAACGAATACTTAAAAAATATAAAGATTCTCCAAATAAATATTTATAGCTAAGAAGAAAGATAAAAAAAAAAATCAATTAAGAATGTATTCAAATAAAAAATTTACCAAATTGCAATTTCTTGAGACACGATTTGTTAAAAAATTTATAGAAAAAAGAAAGTTGTATACACTTCTGCATAACTATCTTGTAGAAAACTATCATAAATATATACCTATTAAATTTTAAAAAACTACACTTGTAACTATTATTTGAAGATATCGGATTTCTCCATGGAAAAATCTTTTGTCATCTTTCTTATTTGAAGATAACCTTTTTCTCTCTCTCTCTCTCTCTATATATATATTATCACATTTCTTGACATTTTGATGTTAATTTTAAACAATCAATAAAATAAATACATTTATTATTTTGATCTGACTAATCATTTTAACGATAAACTATCTTGATACTAATTTAGCATTATCACTCAACACACAATAATATAATAACAAAAACACTTAATATTAATCACAAACTTTATAACCCTTTTTCTAGAAATAATCACAAAGTTTATAATTTTATCTCTTCAAACAAGTATTTAAAGATAATAGAATGGGAAAACCTAATAAATTAACATTCATGATGAGTAGAGCTAGATAAAATTGAATTGGAAGAACTAAAAAGAAAAGTTAGAGATGATAGAAATGATAATTTTTTTTTAAGAAAAAAAGATAATGACAGGAAAACTTCTCTAAAGATGATGAGGTGAGAGAATATATATATATTTAATTTTTAATTTTTCTTCTTATGTAACTGCTGGAGCGACTGACTACCAAATCAAGAAATTAACAAATACAATGATCACATGGCATATTAAGATCCACAATAATCGACCATTATCCTAAAAAGATCTCGAAACTTGCTTGAGGGTTGAAAGCATAAGGCGAAGCCCAAATTGAGTCTAAGGCTTGGGCCCAAAAACTCCCCTCAAACATGACCGAAAGAGAAAATTGTAATTTAAGTGCTCAAATTTTAAATTGTTTCTATTTGAGTATCTAATTTTTATTCTATCTATTTAAACACTTAAAATTTGATTTTTTTTATTTGAATTTTCTCTACCATCTAAATATAAACATTGCTGGAATCTACTGACACCTTAAAGTTTTTCAACTGAAAGTAAAATTCACCCAAATTTATTTTTTTTAAATAGTAAACTAGACTTGCATGCCGAAGCACCATCGGATGGAGCAAATTATGGACGATCGAGTTAACAGCTTCAAGGCTGGGGAAAGAGCTGAAAAGGAGTGTAGAGAAAATAGGCATATGGGCGTTGGCTGTTTGGGTTGAGAAATGGGATATGGTAGTCCTTTAGTGATCTAGTGGCGTGGAAGGCACGTTGGAGAGCGATGGATTTGGAGATCTAAGAAAGTGTAGTTTATAGTTTTTTTTTTTCAATTTCTACCAATTATTTTTTTATCAAAATTTTATTTTATTTATTATTATTATTTTAATAAATACGAGTGGATTCTATTTTTATTACGTGTTATTTAAAACTTGTAATGTATGAATGGAAGTTAATTTTTAAACAGACAATAAAAATGTTTTCAGAATAACTTAATTTTTTATTATGTGTGAATATTTTAAGAATAAATTTTAAAAATCGTTGGTTATAAAATTCAAATTCTTAAAATCGACATTTCAAACTAAAAAAAACACTAAACGTTTAGCGTCGAAACAGATAAAATAAAAAATTGTACATCCAAATACAGTAAAAATGAAAAGTTAGGATATCAAATTACAGTTTCCTCTAACACCAGGCGAACGCATGCCATGTGGAACCTGAATTTTCCCGAACGTTCTCTAACTCTCCACATCATCATCAACGCCTCCATTGTTCCTGGGTCTCTCGCTTCTGTTGCTCCAAATTAAATGACCTAAAACGGACACAGCACAAGATTTTATCATATCATCAAATAAAGGTATGGGCAAATCTCTTTCTTGGGTTATTCTTGATTTCTTTACCGTAAGTTTGACATGTTACTTTGTAGATTCTTTGATGAGGATTCAAGATTTTATGTAATTGGGGTTAGTTTGTATGATTATGGTGATTTCTTGAAAATAGGATCTTAGGGTTGTTGAAATTATTGGTTATGTAGTGAAGATGGTGAAAATGAAATGAGTTAACTATGGTGTTCCACATGTAGTTTCGAATGTGGATTTTTGTTTGCAAATTCTCTAGCTTTTCTTCTGGCTTAGAGTTTAATCAATCATTACTGTGATCCTTGAAACCTTTGTATCTTTAGAAGTTGTAACCCTGGTAGATTACATGCTTTCTACTGCTTATATTTTAAGTAGAGGCAAGGAATTTGATGACTCATATCAAACAAGGTCATACTATGTCGTTAATGTTTCTCGCTGGGTGTTTCCTTTTGCAGGTTTCCTGTTGTGTGAGTATTATTAACTTTTTTTTCCTTTTTTGACAGAGAGGAACACAATACGAGAGCATACATGCGCGGAATAGCTGCGTTATTGCCTGCGAAATACAAATTCAAACAGATATGCTCTATGGCAGGATCATGCGGAAAATGTCTCATTCCTTAAAACCAGTCTTGTTTCTTATTTCAATTGTAATGAAAAAAACAATCATATAATTAACAACTTTTGTTACTGATAATCACATGCTCATAAAACCAGGTACTGTGGCCACTTCAACTCTGAAGAAACAACAGGACAATGATTCTGCTGGAGAAGGGCCGGTTCCAAATGAAAATACAGATCCTATTGTTGCCTTCAGTAGACCTCCACCATTACCACCTGTTCTTGGACCATTGATTGCTCTCTCTTTGTTTGAAATGTGGTCAAGCCATGATGGTGATGATGACTGACTGTTGATGCAAAGCTACACTCTCTACGGTAGGTGTTTATGTACATAAAAGCTTTTGTGAGTGCATCCTATCCAAAATACCTCTTTAGAAAATGGAGTACTACGTTCAGTGCAAAAGCAAATAATCTTGCAATGAGATTCCAGGCTCTGATGTAACCTGCCAGAAGTGGGTTGACAAAAGGTGCCAAAAGTATGCTGTAGAATTTTGAACAGAATTGTATTATGACATGAGGACTCTTTAGAAGCCCTGCAGAGGGAGGCAAAAAAAAAAAAAGGCATAAATGTCATCGTGCCATGAGTTTGGTACTAGTTGCTGTTTTTTTAACAGTTTAATGAAAGTTAACGTACATTCTGCAGCTTTTGGAAAATCATCAAATATTGCAGTCGCATTCTTTAACAGCGTCTGTATTTGTCAATGGAACAAATAGCACAAAGAAGAAAACAAAGTTATTAAAATCAGGTGATAGAATGGTTAGAAAGACTGTTCTGTAGTCAAAAAGATTTAGTAAGAGTTAGAATAATGTTAGTTTGGGAGATTACCAGAACTATGCCTCCTGGTTTGATGGGTGATTCTATCACAACCAGAGCTTTCCTGTAGCAGAACATGTAGTGAGAAACTCGTTTACGTATGGAAATGAGAGGTCAGAGATGTTCGTTGATTTGGTTATTACCTAATAACAAGTCTGCCCTCCTTTAGAGAACATTCGTAGAAGCTGCATCCTCTGCTGAATGGTATCTGTGTCGTTTTCCATTCTGCATGGTGTAGAATTCTCATCAAATTGTTAAAAATTTTAAGAAACAAGGACATCTTAATGCTTGGTAACGGTGATGTTATACCTAAGTGCCAATTCGCTCCTGCTGTAAATTCGTCATCTTCACATACATGTTCAATGATGAACTTCATATTGTGCCCCATTCCTTCTGTGAGTTGTCGAAAGAAATGCATTACCTCCTGCAATGATGCATTATAGCCTCTCGTAATAGGAAGAATTAAGAAATGCATTTGTTAAATATGATAGAAATCTATTAAAATAAGAGGAGACCTTTTTCCCTTGCATTGGTTGAAGGAAGGAGCAGTCCTCAAAGGAACAGTCATCTGAAATATGGCCTTCTAGTTCCTTCAACTTCTTCTCATTGATGCATGCATAGAATTGCTTGATCATACTGGATGGAGAAGGACCCAATTTGAAGTCGAAATCATCTGCTGCTGACACAACCAAGTTGACCCATCTTTTGTTGAATGATCTGTTACTTGACTGTTTTCTTAAGCATGTTACTTTTTGTTCCATGTTCATCTTGTTCTGCATCAATTGATGTGACCCCTTAAATGGTGAGGAGCCAAAAGTGCGTCCGGCCACTCCTTTGTGGCAGATGGTCTGCCATGCGAGGTGGGTGGAGAAATTGACAGCAGCAGCCATCGCTTAACTCACATAAGAAAATGGTGATGTGAAAATGTACTTGTGGAAAGGATTATGAGAATGAACCAAGTATGAAAGAATAGAGCAAAGAATAAAGTAACATGTTTTGTGCCTTGGCAGGAAATCAAAGAATGTTCTCCATTTGTTAGGCCTGGCGATGCAAGTTTGAGCCAAGGCAGCTTACCCTGCAAAGTTCGTGAAGAATCTCCCAGACTAATTTCCACCTTGGCTTGGGCTTCGAAAACACTCACCCCACTTTATGTAGGCCTTCGCAGTCATTTGGGAAGGGATTTCTTTTGAAGCCGAACTATCTATATGAATGCTTAATTTGAAGATTTTGAAGTCAAATTATATCAGTGGTACAAGAAGCTGAAGAACTTTGAAAAATCAAAATCCTTCAAGCTTAATTTTTCGGTTTGAATTATACCTCCAAGTCAGAAAGTCACTTACTTTTTACTTTCATATTTTAACTAAGATTACACTTTAGACTTGTTAATAGCACAATCGAGGATCAAGGCCTCAAATTGAGTAGCCAACAGCATGTTCTACCCTTTCTGATTTGATGGGCGGTTCTGATGAAAACAGGACTCTAAGTGATCTACGAGATGGGAAATGAGTACTTCATCTGTTGTAGTGTTTGGTTGAAGAAGTCTCTTTGATTTACCTGGGAAAAAAAAATGCTTCAAAGTTCCTTGTTTAAGGCCAATAAGAGTTTTGGTTCGATGGTTGATTAGCTCGTGTCGCGGACTTGATTTTTTTCAAAATTTAACTTGGCACTTTACTCATTTCTCACTTATTTTTTATTTATTCTAAATCGTGAATTTATTGGTTCAATGGTTAAATTAATTTAGGGTCATAGACTTGGCTTTTTTCAAAGTCAACCTATAGCACTTGATTCATTATTTATTTAAACCGAACTAAATCAACCTTTATTTTATACTAAGTTGTAAAATAAGAAAGTAATATAAGAGAGATTTTATAGAAATTCTTTATATTTCTTTCAAAATGCTTATAATTGGTTGGCCAAATGAGTGCTTTATTTATTTACAGTTTTTTCATTATTTTTTTTTTAAATGAATGACTATGATCAATTTAATTTAATGATTGTAATTGATTTTTTAGAATTTTACCATGTAGATTTTTTTCTAAAACTTTCATATTTAGATATTTATGAAAAAAATATTTTAAATATATTACAAAAGACTCTAAAATACGTGCGGGTGAAACTATTCTTAAACCGTTCACCCTCACTCGTTACACTGTGGATGAAGATGCACCGTCGATCTGCCCTCTCTTCTTGCTGTCGATTTTTGAGCCATTGGATCTCCAGTTTGTATTTGCAAATGCTTTAAATATGCTACGCGCATGCAGATTTCGTCCCTAATTTGTTGCCTTTAGTTCTCTTATTTTTATCCTTTTTAACTTTTGATCCTCATGGGCCCTTTTCTCGCCCTTAGATTGTTTCATTATTTGCTTTTTGTACCATTAGGTTATCCTGTCATTACCGTTTTGCCCTCTCTTTTCATTTTGTTCTCTTGGCATTTTCATGCCTTTTTTGTAATTTCTCAAATCATTCCCCACCCCCCGCGCTTCTTTCTTCAACCCATGTGTCTCTCTTCCTCTGCTATAATTGAAGGAAGAACGGTCAGGTTAGGTTAGCCTCTCTCTAAAAAAAATCAATAGTTTTCTTCATATTTTTCTTTCCATTTCTCTCTAAATCATCTAACACTCTTACTTCTATTTCTTTTTTTAATTTGTCTCTATTTTCATATTGAAAGAGTCACTGAGGATTTGTTGATGTTGGGGAGGCCAGCTAAAGGATATATGGAGTTAAGGGATGGCGTGGCTAGGTTCAAGTGGGTGTGGTTTCGATCTAATCAACATCAAAACTCATTATTCGTTTTTTTCAAAAAAAAAAAAGCCCACCAACACCTAACAACATCAAAACTCATTCTTCATTTTCTTTTTAAAAAAAGAATAACTAATTCAGGCAATGATTTCCACTGTGTCTTTCTTTTCTTAATTTCTTTTAAATTAAGACTGCTCTTAATTTATTTTTAATTAAGATTTTTTTCTTTAAAAAGAAAACAAAAACAATGAATGGATTCCATCGTAAAGGCAAGCACCCAAAGCCATGAAGGATCAACTAAATAGAGAAAGTAAAGTTTTAAAGATCGTTGAAGAAAAGAGAAGGAAACAGTAAAAAGGTGGTTTGGTTTATGGAAAAAAGAAAAAAAAATCCTTAACCTTTATCTTCTATTTTAATTTTCTTTTCATTTTGTATTTACACTTAAAAATATTTTTTTCTTTTTTTATTAATTTTTCCTTTTTTTGTTGTTATCACTGTTGCAATTTTATTTCATATAATATTACATGTGTTAGATTTTTTTTTATTACCTGTCTATTTGTTTGGAAAATTGACGTAATAAGTAAATAAATTGTCAAAAATAAAAAGATAAATCAGCGGGTAATCTTTTTATTTATACGTAACCATTGCAAATCAAAGAAGCAATTCAATTCAACCACACTATCAAAGGCTAAAAAGGGGATTGTGACACAAACTCAAAGGTACCAAATAATGAAAGAGATTAGCATATTTTTAGAGAGAAGTCAATGAAATAATTTGTCACATCTGGGTTCGAGAATGATAAATTTATCACTGGATGACATGATAAAAGATAAATCAAGATTTTTTTCTGTATTTATATTTTAGGCATATACTTTAATTGGGTTTGTGCCGTTATCGAAAAAATATCTAAGTCATTTTAAATTAAATACACCTCTATTATTTTTAATAGAAATCTTTTCTTCTCTTTTTAGTTAATTGTCATTCATATAATACATATTACAAAAAACACTAAAAGACATGAGAATTTTAAGAATTTTAATGTTGTTAGACTATTATTCACTCTCAGCTTATTGTGGATTGAGTTTTTTTTTTTTTTTTTTTTTTTTTTTTTGCGTTATAAAGGTCTTTTTTTTAATCCTAAATTACTTTTATTATCACTCAATGGATTTGTAAAAATTCACATTTGCTCTTGATTGATTTCCTTTTTAATTTTCTTCACAAGCCTTTTTTCGTCGTTTCCTTTCTCTTTTTTTTTCTATACTTTATAAATGACTTTCTCTTTTATTTTTATTACTCTCATTGTCATTCATTGGATTTATAAACATCCGCATCTGCCCTGAACTTACTCTTTTTTTTTTATTTCTCTTTTAGCCTTTTTTTGGTTATTTCCTTTTCTTTTATTGATGAAGCATTTAATGCTCCTCTCATTGCCAATTTTTTCTGCTCATTTCGTGAGAATAGAGAAGCTTCAAGAGTAAATTATAAATTAGTCCCTCTTTCATAAGGAAACGAATTAATTAGTCCATTTAATTTTAAAAATTAATTTTTATCATTCTTGCTTCTTCTTTTTTTGACTTTTTGTTTTAAAAAATAAAAAATATGAAAAAGATTAACGAGAAAAGAAGACATTTTTGAAAATAAAAAATAAATTAGTTTGGATAAGAAGATTAAATAATTATTTTTTGAAATCAAAAGGATTAATTAATTCATTTCTCAAAACAAAAGGGATTGATTTATAATTTATCTATCACTATATTCACATCTACTGCATGAAATAAATATATCTATCACTATATTCACATCTACTACATGAAATAAATATATCTATATGATATATTTTTATATTTTAAAATAAAGATATATTTTAGATTATATTACTATTATTACTTAAAAATATTTCTTCAATTTGTCATTTCTTATTAAAATTTTTATCAAATTAATTTTTATTTTGTTTAAATATTATTTATTGATATACATGATTTATTGTTCTCTATGTATGGATTTTTAAATAAAATTTTACAACATGTTTATTTTTTAAAAAAATAATTTATATAATGGACTTTAAGAATTTTTAAATGATAATAGCATATATATATATATATATATATATATATATATATATATATATATATATATATATATATATATATATATATATATAATTTTAGAGAATTTGTATTAGATTTTTTTGAAAAAAATAATTTACAAAATAAATTTTTAGTTATAAATCCATGGAGTTTTAGATTTTATTTTTAGATTATCACAATTTTTTAGTTAAGAATCGAATAAATAAGAATAAATCATGTTTTTTTCTTTTGTAGAAAATTTTTGAAAAATACAACGAATAATTAGTCAAATGCAAATTTTTAATAAAAAATAATTATTATATTTTAGTGGATTCACGAGTAAAGCGCAAATTTTCAAACTAAAATAAATTTATATATTTCTTATTAAGATTTTCATCAAATGAATTTTTATTTTTTTAACTATTATGTATTGATAAACATGATATATTGTTCTCTATGTATGGATTTTTAAATAAAATTTTATAACATGATTATTCAAAAAAATTTATATAATTTATATAGTGGACTCTTAGAATTTTTAAATGATAACAACATATATATATATATATATATATATATATATATATATATATATATAAACATTTTTAGAGAATATTTATTATATTTTTTGAAAAAATAATTTACAAAATAAATTTTTAGTTAAGAATCAAATAAATAAGATTAAATCATGTTTTTTTTATATATATATAATTTTTTTGACAAATACAACGAATAATTAATCAAATGTAAATTTTTAGTAAAAAATAATTATTATATTTTAATGGATTCGTAGTGAAACACAAATTTTTAAATTAAAATAATTTTATATGTTTTTTTTTATATGCAGTGTAGCGGGTGAAAAATTGGTATACTCTAAAATAATTTAGTGACCCTCTAAAAGTTTTTAAGAACATATCCTTATGTTTTCCGAAAAGTTCTTCTAACCTTAAGAATTGGTCGCTTTCCGACGGAGCATAAAATCATGGTCAGATAGGGTGTCTAACTTGAAACCGTGTCATGATCATAGCCTCCGGCCAGTAAACCTCCATTTTGGGTCCCATGGGGTCTCCTTTCTTTCTGCCACTACATAGATAGATGCAATTTAAATCCTGGCATCCAATGTGTAGGAGTGGGAATAGGAGTAATGCTCCCAAGTGGAGTAGCCGATTCGCTTCTCCATTTTTGTAGCCAAAACAAAAAAATAAAAAATTATCGGTTCCGTTTGCATTAAACATTTACGTTAAGCAGATTTATATGATTTGGAACCTGGATAGCAAATTGGCATTAAATAATCTTTGGGTGTTATACCAACCATAGCGTTAGAAGCAGAAATAGGCTTTGTAGCAAGAATTGGAGGTTAGGAGGCATGCCAGCGAAATTTTTGTCCTAAACGACGGTATAGGTTGAGATTCTGAAGATCATTAGGCAACTAATCAATGGTTAAACAATTAATGGTATACTGTTAATCGTTGACAATTGAGCTTGCGATTTTCTTTTCTTTTCCGTTCTTTGCTTCCTAGTTTTTAATGTAAACAATGGGGATGGAGACTGCGGTTTCCTGCTGGCGACCTGTTGGCAGACAGATTTAGAGCATGACCAATAGAAAAAGATGATTTTGCTAAGGATGACTACCCACGCACCCAGACAAACTTAAGATTGTCCAGTAGCTGCGTGTTCCAAAGATTAAAGAATCCTGGTTGATCTGACATGGTCCACACCGACAGTCCGCACATGGTAGAGAGATGCCCTTGTTTCTACAGCTTAACATAAGGTTGAAATAATCCGAAATGGGAAACAGGTTTCACATACCAAAATAGGTATTAGTTTTTTAGGCTAAAATCAGTTTTCCTGTGAACATCTCTTCCCAAACTGGAGGCTCAAAACCAATATGAAGAGTGTCATATACTAGCAGAGTGGAAGAATTCCCAGCTACAGTCATTGCACATGTTAGTCATAATTGTGTTAACCTCTCTTGTCTATGAACTTGTAATTCAGCATCAATTACACATAAATTTGCTACAGAACATGGTGGATAGGCCTGCGTCAGTAATAGTACTAGTGTTTGAAATTTCCAAGGTGGTTTCCCTGAAAACATGGACAGGTTTTGCTTTCCAAGACTTGTTCAAATTGCTTTTAATTAAACTGATCAACGTGTCCGTCAAAAAACAACGAAAACAACCCAACCAGTCTTGCCTCCTTGCGAAACATGTATGTTGTTGTAGCCATCTACAAGTTCTATTGACCAAAATAGTCTAGAAACCTGCCCAAGATCCACCAAAAAGCTCCTAGATAGCTCTGGAAGCCGCACGTGTAGGCAGAGATGTTCTGAGTTATCGCCGTGTATATTAAACAATTGTTCAGTCAATCAGTCACCAAATCATACTGTTAAATTCAACATCTCCCAAGTTGAGCTACAAGGAATCTTGTACAGCCTGACAAATTCGCTGGCGTGCCTCCCAACCCCTCACCAGTATCAGCAGCCATTGTTTCACTCTCCTGACCTGGTATTGCAATGAGTTGTTGCTGCACTATATAGACTTCTAAGTCCTGACAAAAGCAACTCAATCAAACATCCACAACTATCAAAGCCAAGGCTCTTCACAGCAAAACGCTTGGCACATACCTTCATATACACTATGAACAAGGTCCGTGATGTTCCTGCTGCTGCAATTGGCAAGATTTCCAGGGGCACTGGGAAACTTCCAAAGAGAGGGCAGATAAAGTCAAGGATAGCAGCAAATGCTTTCCACTCCATTGTTTCCGTTCTATACAAAGCCTCTTCAAATCAACATCATTCCCAGAGGAAAAGCTACCTGAGGAAGGCATAAAAAGTTAGATGCTATTAATAATATTGGACATTGTTTGATCGCCACCTTTTCTAATGTATTTAGAGCTTTTCCTCTTCATCTTTTTTGATCTCTTGTATCTAAATTTCAGTTGAATTATTCATTTTTAGTGAGATACGTTTGATTTCGAAACCAAAAGGTTAACGATATTCACAAGAAAAATTAGCATGGGAATGAAAATAGGCATCCCTCGTGATTAATTGGCACAAAAATGCAACAGGACTAGCATCGAAACCATTTGATATGTTCCTTCCTAGTAAACTGTGTTGCCATAGTTATCATTAGCAACAAGCACCTGTTAACGAGCATAGCTAATTGAAAACACAAAACTGATCACATATAAGCTTGTAACTATATCACATGATGCCAAACAGAAAGTAAATCTTAAATCATCATCTACACAGCATGCAGTATCTTTAAGTTACCCAGAATTATTAGTTGCCTGGATGTTCTTCCTGCTTAATCTGTTCAGCCTGTTGTGTAAGATTACTTCATACACATGTTTTCAGAAAACGTCCTACCTACCAACAGCAATAATGCTTAGAACTAATTAGAACCAAGAACTTCTGAATATATTACTAAGGCGTTACCAACTTGTAAATCTAAGCATGAATGTGGCTCAATAGCCTCAAAGTTCATGCCAAATTTTCATTACTTTTATTTACTTCCAAGTTCTAATGCCTTCAATTTCACGTTGGGAAAACTTATAAAACAGACTGCCTCAGAAACTAGGCAAATGAAAGCGTGAAATTTTAAGACATATGGTTTGACAACATCAAACTCCAATCCAGAATGATACTGTGAGAAATCAGATATAAAGAAAGCATGAAATAACATGGAAATAGCCAGCAAAGCATAGTGAAATCAAAAGTCTTGGGATTCACAACTTAATTGTAACAGAATAGAATTTTGTTGTATTAACCCCTTGCTAATCCTTTTTCAAGAACAACCAAATACCATAATGCAGTCCAACAAAAATATCCAATCGTCCTCAACCACACGTGTTCACAATCAGATTGGCTGACAACCATTCAAGCGCCAGGTAAGCCTATGAATTCAAATCTGTTCGAGTTGGTCTGAACACAGTACAACCAAATGCATTGCTGGCATGCCTCGTAACTCCCAACCGACCCAACAAGCCTATCTATATTTCCTCCCTAGACCAGATATCCCACCTATAGACCCCACACCCCCTCCCCCAACCAGCGGTTCAGAGTCCATAGAAACATAGAAGTAATGCCTGACTTTTATCACTTGCTATAAAATATGCATGGAAAAAGGTCTGCACTTCAACAATCAATGATTGCGTATAATCCACGACACCTGTTTTGCCAGACGCTTCACCAAGCTTGCATTTTAATGGTAAATCATATTTGAGAAAATATTGAAAAAGGTGGGATATTCGGATTGATATGAAATACTGTAGAACACTAACATTTATATCCTCTCTTGTTTTCAGTTTTCCAGCCAATAGGAGGAATTTGTTTTACTTGGACCGATCAGAACTTATTATTGGTTACAATCCACAAAAATTCAATCTCTACCTTGTAATATGTGGAAACAGCATGTTTTGCCACAGCAAGCTACAATCTCCGGTGCATACACTCTACTCTAATTAGAACCAAAGGGGTGATGCCCATTGAAGCATCCTAGGAGGTCCAATTACTAAGACTAGTATCAAAAAGCTTAAAAGAGACTTTGAATTAATCACATGAGCTGCTCAAGCTTTCAAGGAGTTGAATGACAAAGAGCTGGGCTGGTGAACATGATCCAAAGTTAAATGAGAGTTGGATCGAGATGGGCTGACTCACTGAGTCGAAGGGCTTTTGGCTTTTGGTGTCTTCTGGGCTGAGAAGGAGATGCATGATTAAGCTATGACTTGTTGCTGCTATTGTTTACTGATGATGCTGGCTGAATTGATCAAGGAATTAAATATGCAAATTCATGGTTAGTGCTTCAAACTTTGTATGAGAATAATGGCTACAAAATTTCATATGGTTTTTGCAAATTTAAAAATTCTTCATTAAACATAATTTATTGCTTTTGTTGGGTGTGAGGCAAACATTAATGTCTTGATTTATTTTTTATCCAAGAGCCTTTTATAAGCAAAAACCTGTAATTTTGTGAGATCATCAAACCTTTTAATAAAAAATTGAAATATTTTATCTAAGAAAATCCTCTCCTAAGTTATTTCAATAACTAACCGGAACTTATCAAGAATTCAACATGCTTTTGACGTTCACATAGACTTATCACTCGCAATCCCTTTTTTGCGAGTATGGTGTCTAATACCATTCTTTGCAAAACCGATTTAGCTTTTCTCAAATTTATATCTTCTTGTACTGTGGGTTCTTTAGCCATCGATTTAGGTGGGTTCACATCAATTAGTATCGAACTTGGCTCTAAATTAGATCTTTTTGTTCATTATTTTTCTATTATAATTTTATTCTTTGTAGTTTTGTTTGGTCCCAAATTGTGTCAATTCAATTTTTAAAAAAAGCATAAACAAAAGGTCTCGTTTTTCAATTTATTTTCAATATTTTCTAGTTGTTTTAGTATTCATTTATGTTCGATTTGTTCCATTTTTTTCATTATTGTCCATTGATTCGGTTGCCAAATCTTATGTTTCATTTAGTCAAGTCCTAAAGCTACTGCCATAATTCTATCATTAGATTATATCAAAGTTTAAGTTTCTACAAAAAAAAAAAAAAAAAAAAAAAAAACATTATTGCTCTTATATTGTTGGATCAAATCTAAGTCAATTTGTCCATTTGATTCGGTTTCACCATTGATTTAGTTATCTAAAGTTTCGTTTCAAATCAATTCATTCCATATATATATATATGTGGAGAGAGAGAAAGAGAGAGAGAGAGAGGATCAAGTATGTTTCGGAACGGTAATAGAACATTAAAAAAAATAAGGTCTATTGGTTTTACAACGATAGCTATTAGGCGTAAAAGTCCGGTTGAGTGCTTCCTTTAAGTTTGTTAAAATTTATATCGGTAGCTCTCAAATTAGTTTGTGAGATTTCAAAACGAGTAGCTTTTTCATATTCAATTCTATTAGTTGATCCTTTCTAAAAATTTGTGTTGTGATTAGATTGTGTTTCTTTATTTTAAAGAGTAATTCTTTGTCAATTAGAAGTCCAAGTCGATCTTGAAAAGTTTGTGCTAAAGTAGATTTGGTTAGTTGTGTCATTAAAGTCGGTTATTCTCCTTAATCAATTCTATCCTAAATCATCTTACATTGTTAGTTGTGATTTGATTTCAAATTCTATCCAAAACCTTATTTCCTTGGAGATTGAAGTCAATTATAATATGTTTTTACCACTTAAACATATTATTTCTAGATTGGTTTGGTTTGTTCAACGAAGAACTAAAATGATTGAATTTGAGAGGTAAAAGGTAAGAGAGTGTGAGCTTATTTTGAGAAAAAACCACAAAGAGAGTAAACGCGAGGGTTGAGTGTCATCAATTCGAGAGAAACACATGAGGGTGTGTTTGTGAGGATTTCTAACATTTTTTTATAGGTTGTATCATGTCAAAAGACAAAGAACAAATGGAAAAAAATTAACGATCGAGTTGTGTCTTTCTAATTTCAAGTCGTACAACAAATTTGTCAATGAATAGAGAGGGTATTAGTTGATATAAAGATATAATGGATAAGCATGAAGCTCAAATAAATGAGTTGTTGGTCACGAGTTTCTAATGTAATAGGGCTAACGGACAAAGATCAAAGAGATGAAGGAAAGGTGAATGATAATGATTGTAACAATCAATATAATTTGGGTAGATTCGATCATAATAGAGGTCGTTTGAGAAATTTTATGAGGAGGGACAATGTGGACCATGACTTAGGAAGTATAAAAAATGAGTATTTGATCTTTTAAAGGAAGAATGATCCATATATGTATTTGCGAGTGGGAGAAGAAAGCGGGGTTGCTTTTTGATTCCCATAAATATTCTAAAGAGAAAATGGTGAAATTAGATGTCATAGAATTCATCGATTATTCCATCATATGGTGGAATCGGTTGGTGTCGACCGGGAAGAGGAACAATGAGAGGCCGATTGATACTTAGGATGAGATAAAAGCTATTATGAGGATGAGGCAAAGGATTACCATAAAGAGATAGAGGTGGTTATAATCAAAGCCATATGGATAAGGATAGAGAGGCCACTATGGCTTGATTCCTACATGAATTAAATAGAGATATTGCTAATATAGTGGAGTTGCGACACTATATGGAGTTGGAAGACTTGGTGTATATGGCCATAAAAGTGGAAAGACATATCAAAAGGAGTCTTTCTTCGTCTAAATAGTCCTTAAATGTTATCCCGTCATGGAAAGAAAAATAGAGTAACAAAGAGAAGAGGGCTGATTATAAATCCAAAGTTAAAGCTTTCAAAGGTAAGGAGGAGAGGGCTGATTACAAGCCCAAAGTCGAAGCTTTTAGAGACAAAGAGGTGAGCTCTAGTTGAGAGAAAGGTAATTTTGGTTCTTAGTCTAATAGAAATAGAGATATTAAATACTTAAGATGTATAGAAAAGGATCATATTGTCTTTTAGTGTCTAAATATGAAGGCAACAGTTTTGATAAATAATGGAAATATAAACTGCGAGGTGATTCGGAAAGATTTCATGCCTCTATTAGAGGATGTGAGTGATGATATGGAGTACATGGTTGATGGTGAGTGTTTAATCACTATGCGCTCTTTAAGCATGTAAGTGAAAGAGGATGTTAAGGCAAATCAAGATAACATTTTCCCTATCTATTATCATATCAAGTATAAAATTTGTAGTTTTGTTTTAGATTGAGGGAGTTTTGCTAATGTAACTCGTACGGTTTTAGTTTAGAAGCTTAATTTACCCATCATTAAACACTTTAAACCATATAAGCTTTAATGGTTGAATGAATACGGGGAGATTAAAGTGAATAAATAAGTATTAGTGTCATTTAATATTGGGAGATATACTAATGAAGTGTTATATTATGTAGATCCAATGTATACGGGTCATATTTTATTGGATAGATTGTGGTAGTATGATAGGAGGATGATAAATGATAGGTTTAAGAATAGTTATTCTTTTGAAATGAATGGTTGAAATGTAACCCTTCTATCGTTAACTCGTCAACAAATATTGTTAACACTCGATTTTTCACCCATAGTATTTTATTTTTATTGAAAAAATACAAAAAATAATAATAAACAAAAAAAATGCCAAGTATAAGAAAAAAGAAGAGAAAAAAAGCTCAATTGAAATAAGATTGCTAATTAAAAAAATATGAAGTTTAGAAATTAAAAAATATATATATAATTGAGGGTACAATTAAAAGACCCAAAATCTCAAACCCTTAATTAAAATAAAGAAGGGGCATAATTGGAAGAAATTTAAGAAAAAAGTCCTAATTAATTACAATTTAAAGGTGCTATTGAAGTTGAAACAATCAAAATCACACTTAAATTGATGAATTATAGGGAATCAAGGATCAAAATGGACTTTTTCCTAAAAACTTAAAACCCACCTATAAATAAACCCCTCTTTTTTTTCTACCTTTCATTATTCATTTATCATTCTTAACAAAATGTTGTAGTCGAAACTCTCCCCTTTCTACAATTGAACCAACATCCATCACCTCCTTTTCAACCACTTGTTCCATCTCTCCCCCTCTTACATTCGAACCACCTCATTACTCATCTCTCTCTTGCAACTAAACCAAACATTACTCATTATATTTCTTATTTTAAAGCTGCTTATCGTACTCTTTTTTTTTAGCCAAAACAATAAGCACCTATCCCTCATCGGTTCCTCCCTTTCTCGAGCACTTCCCTACCTCTCTCTCATACCTCACTTGAAATAACCTCCCCCATGCCAACTCCTTCACACGCCAGCCCCCACGTCAACCCCCTTTTTGTCAACCTCTCCCTTACCAAAAACTCCCTTATATGCTTGGCCCCTTTACTAGCCTCTCCCTCACATGCTAGCCTTCTTATCCGCCTCTCTCTTGCCTAAAACTCCCTCACACGCCATCCCCTCGCCAACCCCTCCCTCATCTAAAAATCCCTTGTATAAAAGCCCCTCGCTAGCCTCTCCCTTGGCCAAAACTCCCTCACACACCAATCCCTTTGCTAGCCTCTCCCATACCCAAAACTCCTCACATGCTAGCCCCTTTTGCCAACCTCGTCCTTCGCCTAAAACAACCTTATTTACGCTAGTCTCTCCTCTTCCACCTCTTAAACAAGAAATATCTACCACAATTTCAATTTTAGGTATAGTAGAAGTAAAAAAAAATGCTAAAATAGGTGTTTTGTTAGTTATGAATAGCAATTAGAACTAGTTAAAAATGGTTGTTTTTGTTAGTTATAAACAACAAGCTGGAACTAGTTTAGGGTAAAACTAAACATTAAAAAAAAATTATTTGAATGATTGAGTTTGGCAAGAACATGATGTTGTAGATAAATTTTTGTGTTTGTTTTTGACAAGAAAAGTACAACAACTATTTTATTACCAAGTCTTCTTAAATTGCGACAACCTTAGTAATTTTCGGAGATGTTGGAAATTTTAAGAGATATTGATAAACTTACAAATAACTTTGGTAAATTTGTAATAGCTTTGGCGACATCGACAACTTTGACTACTTGTAGTGATTTTGGAGTAACCTTCAATCATCTTAGTAGGACCCATACAATATTTTGACAATAGGCGGTTGTTATCCTTCTCCGACTAACTGAATAATCAATTATTATCAATGATGAAGAGAGTAGAATTGACCCTTAAATCGAGACCATTGAACCTTTTAGAACACTTTTGGAAAAAACCTCTAAAATAATTATACCCCTTTAAAATAACAATAAAAACTATTGTATTCCATTTATATATTCGTTGCTTAAATATGAATGAAATGAATGTTCGTTGTAATAGTGATTATGTATGAATTACCTCATTTAAATTTATATATTTTTAGTGTGATTCGATTGATTTGGCATGCTTGGTTGCGATGCACCTAAACATATAATAGTCATATCTAAGGCATATTATCTAATTTCACTATTTTTTCGAAATCATTTTGCATGTGTTCTATACTGTTAGAAAATAAGTCACCGAGTGACTTTCCACTTATATGGACGAAGCCATCATTGGCTCCAAAACCATTTTCTCCTAAAAATGTTTTTATAAACAAATTTATCGATAATTTTCACATATGTGATAAAGTCGATAATGATTTTGACATCATTTTACACACGTTATGTTTGTTAGAAAACGAGTCACTAGTGAATTCCCACTCGTGTGGACGAAGCTTCCAATGGCCCCGAAACCATTTTTCTCTAAAAACTATTTATGGAAACAAAGTTATTGGTAACTTTTCACTTATGTGACAAAGTCGTTGATAATTTTGAAATCATTTTGCATGTGTTCTATTCGTTAGAAAACAAGCCACTAGTGAGCTTCCTACTTACATGACGAATTTACAAGTGGCTTTCAAATTAGTTATCTGTTTCTTACTTGAGCTAAATAAAGTTGTTAGTAGCTTCGAAACTCATTATCAAAAGTCGACAACGACTTACCACTCGTGTGAGTAAAGTTATCAATGATTTCTTGTTCATATCAATAAAAGATTATTAATTTTTAAAAACTCACTTACTTGTCGATATAGGTCGGGTTTACTAAAAAATAACCAAAATCTCAACATTTTTCACTTTTTCCCTTTGAGTGAGGGGTATTGGCCTTAGAATTACCTCAACCCTAAACTACTTTATTTTTATATTCCAACAAAATAAACTCTCTCATATGGGAATAAGAGTATAACTCGGCTAAAAACAAGATTTTTTATTCTTTTCATACATTCAATACAACTTACCTTAGGTAGGATGAGATAACGATGATGTTATATCTTCATCATATTTAATCGATCCTTTACCCGGATATCTTCGTGGACTAGTATGTTTAAGGTTTCCTAATTCATCATGATCAGTTAGATTGTAACTTTATATTTCTCATATATGTCATGTAGGCCCACGTCAACAAAATGATAACTCCACTAGGGAGATGTTATGGTAGGATCAAGTTTTGAATGTCCGTGTTTATGAATTTCTAGTCATTTGGTGTGCCAATATATTTTAAGTGAGTAAATTATTGTTAAATTGATTGTTTGTTTTTTATCATGATAATATGTTTATACATATGTGTGATGTTTGTGTTATAGTTTTATCTAATTATTTCTTGCCTTTATTTCATATTTTGAGACCTGAATATGGAGTCATACCTCATACACCTCATTGTATAATTATAACTATCATCCGTATTTGCCTTAAGATTTGGAGAGTTATTAGTGGTGTCTCGATGGGTTTTGCTTTAGATAAACACTCACAAACCCTAAAACCTTTTTACTAGCTGCTTATTGATGATAGGTAATCGATGATTTTTTATGATTATTAATATCACTATGGACGAGTCTTAGTGATTCTACTAAAGATTCACTATATTGGAAAGTACCCTTTTGAGATGTAGATAGAGTCTATCCATTCATGTAATTACTAAAATAGGATCCTAGGACCATCTCTCTTTGTTTAAATGTATTGGACAAGTCGGACATATTGGAAACCTAGCCTAAAATAATTTGGTCATGATATTTCGGGATGGATGATAAAAGAGCTTAGCTATAGTTTAAGCTAATATCGATCTTATAAACAAGATTCAAAATCCTTCAATGTGTAAAAAGGGGTTACTTTTAAGAGGGATTTTAGAGTGATCATCGTCGATAACCAAAGTTTAGTTGATGATTAATGACACCAACAAACTTCTTGAATGTTGGGAGATCCTGATCGCTCATGATAAATGAGTGTTCAAGCACAAATAAAGAAACTTGGCAACACTAATAAAGATACCAATCCAAAAGCCTATGTTGAAGGCTTTTATCTCTTTATAAAACCCTTCATATCGTTGCTTCATTTTGAGAAACTTAAACATGACTTTTAATATAGAAGAGTACCATTAGTTACTACAAATACAAAATTTTTCGTATGAGGTCTATCTCTATCATCGATGTGACAAAGTGAATGGTAGGGTCAAAAACTAGCTAGGTATAAATCCGAGTTGAGCATGAGCTAAAGGTGCCATTAAGGAATGGCATCATGAAGCCTTAATGGATATATTCAAATAAAGCTTAAGAAAGTCGACCATTGGTTCGAAGAAATTTTAAGTCTTGGCCTTATGTATCTTCGGTTTGATTTTATTTCATCCTCTATTGGATTAATCGGTCTTGATGCTTGTCAATATTTTTATTGAGACGAGAGAAGAACTCGATTAACCCCACTACTTTTATTTTCGCTTAAACCATTTTATCATTAAATCACTACTAAAGATTCGGTAAATGAGGGATGAGATGCTATGTATAATTATTATACGTATGGATGGTTAGTGATGTAAAAATACACAAATCAATTTTTAATTTTATCTAGTGGAAAGATCAAGAGCTTCTTAAAAATTTCATAACAACACCATTGAAGAACCACATCTGAGTAAGAATGGAGTGTCATATTACCCGACATGCCTAATACCTAATTTTAGTGGAAGGCTATCTAGATGAACTAAGCATTATATTTAGCTTATTGTGAAACTTTTCATTGGGTTCCTCCGGTTGGATCGATAAGATATGTGAGTTACACTTCGACATGATGTCTAGATAATTAGGCTATGAGAAATGTATCTTGAGGATGGTTGGTTTGGTCGACTTCGAAAAAAAAGGTTTATCTCGCTTTCCTAAGTCACATCATAAAAGACTGGTTAGCATACGGAATGATGGATGGTAAAATAGATGACTGTGAGATAGCTACTACCGAAGCTTTTCCATTATGGCAAACTATAAGGATAAAAGAATTGGGTCCCCAAACAAATCAAAGTCAAGATGGATGAGTTCCAATGTATAACAATCAAGCTAGTCAAGAACCCCCGATCCACGATGGGATTCGAAATCTCGTCGAACCATCATAAGTTAGGACCCACCGGTCTACCCAAGGAAGTAAGCCAATCTCTCCAAAAGTTCCAAGTTTCTCATCTAGTTAGTACAAAGGAAAAAGGAGAAAAACATATGATCCTTCAAAATTGATTCCTTCGGACTATCATGATCTTAACAAAAAAATATAGCTACTCAAGATTGAGAATCTAAAGCTAGCTAGCGACTTAGCTGAAAAGAAAAAAAAGAAAGAAAAAAGAAAGATGCTAGATTTGGAACAAGATCTAAAAACTTGACAAAGCATAGCCCCTAAAGACAAATACTAGAAATCGCTCCGCCACCAAGCACAAGCAAAATTAGAATTGAAGTGTGCTAACTTTGATAATTTACAATTAAGACATGGCTAAGTTGAGCTTAAGTTAGAGAGTTTGAGGATGGAAGTAAAAAGGCTTAAAAAGGATAATGTCAAGTGGGAAAAATTTTTAAATGCCAAATACAACAATAGTGAAGAATCAAAGAAGCAAATGGCAGAGGCACAAATCCAAATCGCTACATTGAAGAAAGAAAAGTAATATCTTGAAGGATAACTACTCAAGCTATCCTCATAATACATAACAACTTGGCTCGAGTCGGTAATGAGCAAGGCTAACACTTGGTTGTACTAGATAACGAAGCGAAAGAAGTCTCTAAAGAAGCCTTAGCCCTAT